CATATTTACATTTTTGTCGAACCTCTGAGTCATGTCGTAATCAAAATAATTGATAACTTTTTTTGTTAGCAAAGATTTTGTTAATTACAGAAAAGTTTTCATATCTTGTCAAGATCTTGATCCAGATGTTTGCAGGCAGATTCCTCAAAAAAAACTTGACAAGATCTTGACAAGAATTGTTGAACATTCTTTGAGATCAAGAAACTTGACAGATCTTATGCAGATATAAACTTTCTGCAGGACATGGGTTTGCTGAAACGGCGGTTTTTCGCCTGTTGCCGTCTGAAACTAAAAACCGTATAATTCACTTATTTCCCGTCCAAAACGACTGATATTTCCAGGGAACGATTCCTAGAGATCACAGCATGTAGATCGAGTCGAAATAGCTGATCGAAGCTTGGATTCCGCAGGAAATTTTCCAGAGATCTGCTAAAAAGTCGTATGAATAAACTGACAATCTTATGTAATTTTTGAGGTTCGATTTACGTTCTATGATCTCTGCTAATCATTCCCTGAAAATTTCAGTCTTGTTGGACGAGAAATCGGTGAAATATACGGCTTTTAGTCTTTGACGGTAACAGTCGAAACACCGGCTCGTCACTAAACTGGGTTTTTCTATGCCGGCTGTCGTCGAAGCGTCTATTGAATGAATTCATAGCTTTCTAAACATATAACTCTGCTTAAGTGCAGGTGTCGGGAGCCGTGGGCGGAGGCGGGAAAAGTGGCATGAGAGTGAGTCACGATCGTTAGACCACCTGGATGATGGGCTGAACTGCTCTCCGTTTCATAATGTACTCTCCCGGGTTGTTTTTTGAATAACGGTTGTTGGAAAAGAAAACAATTTGGGCTAATCTCTTAGGAAACTACATGAACAAATGGAAACTATCTAGAGCAAATATTTTAGAGAAGCTTATGAGCTATCCGATATTAAAAAAGTGTTTTTCCAAAGCCTTTCCTTCGCTTATAAATGTCAATAAATAATGGAACGGCGTGGCACACTTTTCTAACAGTGAATTTTCGGGCACTTAATGTCCTCCAAAAAACTTGATTTTTATATTTGTCAGAGATTTGGTGATATTCTATCGATTGATATGAAAAATAAAGTTGAAAAAGTATTTTCCGGTATTTAAACTTGACTGGAACCTTGAAACAACAAAAAGGCATAAGTTTTGTTCCACAAGCCGAATTGCGAAAAAATGTGGCATTTTGCATAGAATTTAATTTTCTATTAAATGGTGTAAATTCATAGAGGATCTTATATAAGAATTGAGTAAAATTTTTATAAGCTTCTTGTCGGATGTCATAAAAACATTTCATTTCTTAATTATTAGCCTCCAATACCCGTTACTACCGATATTGATCCCCTATTATTATTAATTGATGATGCTGTTGTGGCTGGTTGGAATAATGAAGGTTTACCATCAGATCGCATGTCAAGTACGTAATTTACTCTATTCTTTGTTTTGTTATTTTTCAACATTCATCATTTTCGTTCTAGCTGAAAATGCAACAATTCTAACGTGTTGTGAAAGATGGCCGTTAATGATTGATCCGCAATTACAAGGTAGATGAGACTAATATAATCAATTTTTATATCTTCTTTCTATAATTGTGCCAATTTTAGGTATAAAATGGATTAAACAGCGTTATGGTGATCCTCTCCAAGTCATTCGTCTTGATCAAAAGCAATATTTGGACAAAACTGAACAAGCAATAGTAGCCGGTGATGTGTTGTTACTCGAGAATATTGATGAATCAATTGAAGCTGTATTAGATCCATTATTAGGAAGAAATACCATCAAGAAAGGACGGGCAATTAAATCGAGAGATAAAGAAATCGAATACCATCCAGGTTAGTTAAAAAAGTTCAACCCTCATTTTCGTCTTCGACATCATCTACTATCATGTTCATTGTCTTATTTCATGCGTGTATAAATTGTTGTCATCTGTTTTAGGATTCCGTCTAATATTGCAAACTAAACTGGCTAATCCTCATTACAAACCCGAAATGCAGGCCCAAACAACATTGATTAACTTTACCGTTACCAAAGATGGTTTAGAAGATCAACTCTTAGCTGATGTTGTAGCTAAAGTATGTGTTTAACCATGTACAGATTGCATTTTCATGTGTGTTTAATCATCTGTGATTGATTTAGAGCGATTAAAATCAGATTTGACAAAACAACAGAATGAATTTAAAATAATATTAAAAAATTAGAAGATCAATTTTCTGGGTGATACAGAGTTAGTAGAAAATTTCGCAATACACAGTAAACTGGTCGAAATATAGATTTGTCTATAAATGTCCCCCTAATCTGAAACAGATACTTGTACATCGAGAATATACGGGAAACCGCAAATATTTAGCCCCAACACAGATGAACCAGAATATCGGATTTTTTAAATGCCACCGAGTAGGATGTTCCTGTTGTAAATACAGTAGAGAATGTTCGTCTTTTTTTGGTACTGTTTTTGGGACAGAGATAAAGATTCGATAATATATTACCTGCCAGACAACGAATATTTGCTACTATATCCTATGTAAACGATATACTGTGGAATATGTAGGGGAATCGGGAAATTCTGGACACTATCGTTTAATAAGACATCTCTCTCAAGTAAGAACGATAAGAAAAACGAGTATAGGTATACACTTCAGTAGTCACAATCACTCAATGAAAGATCTAGAAATCATTCCGTTCAAAAGTGGATACCAAGGTTTAGAACATCGACAAGCTAGGGAAGACTATTGGCGAGAGGTGTTGCAGCCAATCCTGAATAAAGATAATATTACTGAACCGCGACAGTTCAACATTACCATATGAATCCACCCTTCCATTAGATGACTGACTTATTTCGTTATTTTTTATCATTAATTTCATTATATTTTTTTTTTTTCGAGACGTAAATTTGGTGCTCAAGGTTGGAATCGTAATTATCCATTCAACAATGGTGATTTGACAATTAGTGTGAATGTATTGTACAATTATCTCGAAGCAAATCAAAAAGTGCCTTGGAAGTGAAAATGGAGAGAGAGAAAATTGATCTCTATGATCAAAAAAAAAGAAAAATTATTTTTTTCAAAATATTTTCAAGGGGAAGATTTACGTTATTTATTCGGTGAAATTATGTATAGAGGTCATATTACCGATGATTGGGATAGACGATTGTGCAAAACTTATCTTGAAGAATATATGAATCCGACAATGGTAAGAGTGTGTAAAACTAAATATTGAAGAAGAATGCACTTGGATGCAGATCGCCCTAATGAATGTACTTGAGCCAAGTACTTGGGACAAATAATGAGGAGAGTACTTGTGGATTTTTCCAAGTAAATTTACTTGTCAAGTACTTGGCTGATACAATGCAAGTAATCTTTTGAATCAAATACTTATTCCATTTATCTTCATTTTGTATTTTGTACGTATTCTACAGCCATACTCTACTTTCGTAGAGCAAATACATGCACGGCTACTAAGTTTGTTCAACTCAGTAGAAATATAGAAGTTTATTTTATAAATGTATAACGATTGATATTGTGATGTTTGTATACAAGTTCTTGATCAAGTACTTGCCCAGTGCTTAACTTGTCACGTATTTCCCAAGTACTCATCAAGTAATCAAGTACCAAGTACATTCACTAGAGGACATTTCACAGCACGATTGTCGTTTATTCTATTACTCTATTAATCATGTTTTTTTATGACAAATAAAAACTAAAATATTATAGATATCGAACATTGTAGGAAAACTCTACTGTTTATCTATAAGATCAAGATAACCATGTTTTAGTTTGAGTTAGTCTCTATTCTATTTTAGTTTGACGGTGAACTATATTTGGCTCCTGGTTTTCTAATCCCTCCTTCAACAGATTATAAAGGATATCATCAATATATCGACGAATTTATACCTCCTGAAAGCCCCAATTTATACGGTTTACATCCACATGCTGAAATCGATTTTTTAACAACAACATTCGAAAATTTATTCAAAACTGTCTTAGAAATGCAGCCACGGGATGCAGGTGAAGGTCAAGCAATGACAAGAGAAGGAAAAGTATAAATTAATTTTTGACTATTTTTAGTTATTTTACTAATATTTCATATTTTTTAGATTAAATCAAAATTAGATGAAATTTTAGATAAACTACCCGATGAATTTCCTGTTCGAGAACTATATGCTAAAGCCGAAGAGAAGACTCCGTACACTGTCGTAGCACTACAAGAATGTGAAAGAATGAGTTTATTAACACGAGACATGAGACGATCATTGAAAGAACTCAATTTGGGATTAAAGGTACTTTATAGAAAATTATTTTAAACTAAATCCTGACGTTAACAAAATTGAAATAAACAAATTTGTTTCATTTCAGGGTGAATTAACAATAACAACTGATATGGAACAACTTCAGAAGATGCTCTGTTTCTTGAGCAAGTGCCAGCTTCATGGACAAAACTTGCTTATCTATCAATGTTTGGTCTTGGTTTATGGTACAGTGATTTATTACTACGTATTAAAGAATTAGAATTATGGACGGGTGAGGGGGGATTTCGTCTGCTTGAAAGACCCGAAGTCTTATAAAAGACGAATTTCACGTGGGACATTTTTCACTGAAAAACAAAAAATTACTCCGAAGATAGGTTTTCGATGATGCTAATCAACATGAAAGGCCTTATTCTCTTTAAGATGTGCGACTCTAAATGTGATATCTCTTTCCCGATACGAACATGTCCGTATGTCATGCGAGGATGAAAAAGAGGAAAGGAAAAAAAATATATATATATATATGGGAAAATTGTTTTCGTTATTTCTTTTCGAAGTATATATTATTCTGTTTTAGATAAATTCTTTATTCATAATGCCAAAAGGTTATGAGTTTTCTCAGGAAGTAAAACAATTAATGTTTCATATTATTAATTTTGTTGAAAGTGGAAAGAATGATCCAGTAATTCCTCTCTACAATGTGAACGATCGTCTTGTCAAAATGTTTGGTATTTCTGAAAGATCTGTCCGCAGATTAAAGCAGGAATTTCAACAGTTAAGATAGAAAGAAACAAGTGAACAACAACAAGAAGAAACGGAAGAGCAAGATGAAATAGATGCAAATGTTAAAGAACTTCGTAGTCGCACTATCTCATTGTGAACGTCCAAACATCGTGAATCTTCAGGATCTAATCCACCGGCATTTTTGTATTTGTGCTTTTTTTCAAAATTTAGTTTATTTTTGGAGCAAGTAATGCAAGTTCTGTTATTCTAAAAGACTGATGAAAAAAGAAAGACGATAGAATCAAGTAGACCGTAAGGAACGCAGATTTGCTTATCAAAGGAGCTCGAAAATAAGCACTTTCATGTGCTAGTGCACATGAGCTCTACATGTAACTACAATTAAATAACCAAATAAACCCTTTCATGTTGATTAGCATCATCGAAAACCTACCTTCGGAGTAATTTTTTGTTTTTCAGTGAAAAATGTTCCACGTGAAATTCGTCTTTTATAAGACTTCGGGTCTTTCGAGGAGACGAAATCTAGAAATTGCTTAGATACCAATGTGAAGAGGGCATGTCGGGGTGCAAACCTAGCTTAAAAAAATTCCATCGAAAAGATTCAATAATTTGCCCTTAATTTCGTAGACGAAAACTGGTGTGAAAAAGTACCTAGAAATATCACTTTTCCATGCTGGCATGTGCCCCCGATTGTCGTCTATTGAATGGTGAAAACGGCAGGTATCTACGACTTTCCATTCAAACGTTATAAGCTTTTCTTGCACCGGCCTTCTTTAAAAATTCCGATAGTAGTAAGGGGTATTCCAAAAAGAGTTACTTTGTTACTTTAAGCAGAAGAAATAAAGTAAGTTTTTTTCTCGCTGACTATACTTCCACGCGCCGAAAACTGGAAGGAAGAAAAGAATGCACCGGTTGAATATGTTTAAAATATTTTATTGAAGAGGAGATGCCTTGACGTTAACTGTACAGTTAGATTGAAAAAAGAGAAGAAGACACTCGTTCATATACTAGAGGGACAGAGATCACGTAATACACATACAATAGAGAAGATTATTCTACAGAAAAGAAGAAAAGATTACTATAGCAAAGGTCACCTCGATAACAATTTGTCTTCTTTAAGAAGAAAGACAGACTGGATGAGAAAATTCACATTTCTGTAGTCTCTATTCTCTTGTACAATATTTCGCCACGCAATTCATTTTTCTTTATTCTCTTATACTTTAAAAAGCGAAAGAGGTTCCTTTTACCTGTTAGTTCTTTCTTTTTTAGTGAAGATATGAAATGGTTCATGTCGGTTAGAATACTTTCTATATCCTTAGACGACCATTGCAATCTTGTATTGTCTACTTACTGTTTGTTTCCCATAAACAAACCTTTACATTACTTCCTCATACATTCGTCTGTCTCGTAGACCGAAAAACATTAGACTGAAACCCTGTCACCGTATGGATAATATGCCCATGGTTTTTACAACAACATGCTACCGCATAGTCTCTTGGAATGAGACTGAAACTGATAATATATTACTTAAAAACAACAAAAACAAAGTTACTTTGTTACTTTTGCTAAAAGCAACAAAGTAACTGTTTTCTTGTTGCCACTTACTAGTAAAGGATACTTTTTTTTATTACTCTTAGAGGTAAGAAGTAACAGAGTAACAAACTAAGTTACTAGTAACTGATAAGAAAATAACAAAAAGAGTTACCGCTTCGAGTAGTGATAGAATGTAAAATAAAACCGTAAAGAATCTTCCTAATATTTTAGAGTCAAAGATTATTTCTTTAATTAATTCTTTTGTAGCTCGAATCTATTCGGCTACTGCATCTTTGTCTTTTTAGAAAAATAGTGCGGCTACTTCATGATTGAGACCACTTTTTTTTGATGATTATTAATTAGATTTAAAAAGTGGTCTCAATTTGGAATAGAGCGTTTGTTCTTTTCACGTACTTTGTACACTGTTTATAATTTCGAATCACTTTTTAATTAGGAATGATTGGCTACTGTACAGACACAAAAAAAGTAGGACAGTTATATTTTAGATTCATACTCATCATCATCATCTTTAGAATTAGAATCATTATCTAACACAACTATATAACGGTAGCTATGATTGTCTAATAGAATCAAATACTGGAATCGTGACAGCATTTCCATTCTTCCTTCTCTAAAAAAAAGTATAACAACTCTTTAACTAATGAAATTTAATTAATTTGATTAATGAAAACTCACAAAGTACTAATTTTTTCACTTGTTGATCATAAATTTGAGATATTCGTAGAAAACTTCGAATTGAAATATTGTGTTTCAAGGTAATGCTCTTCATTTTTATACTCTCACCCGATCCAGTAATGTCGCTCTCAGTTCAATTTAGTTTTAAGCATCAGTTTTGAAAAATATTTCAATCGGTTTCTGTCTGTACAGTAGCCAATCATTCCTAATTAAAAAATGATTCGAAATTATAAACAGTGTACAAAGTACGTGAAAAGAACAAACGCTCTATTCCAAATTGAGACCACTTTTTCTACTATAAAATTTTCATTTCCAAATTGAGACCACTTTTTAAATCTAATTAATAATCATCAAAAAAAGTGGTCTCAATCATGAAGCCTCGAATAGTGCATTTCTGCATTGCCCATGTTTTATTTTTGCAAATAAAACAATTTCCATCATTCTCTGTCCACGGACTATGAGGATGAAAAGCGAAAAGAGACGTGTTTTCAGAAGAAGGTGCAAAAGAAGTGAAGTATTACTGTAATATATGAGCGCGTTAATTAGAAAAAAAGATAGCTATGCTGTGACCATTTTTAAACGAAGTTATTTTTTTTGGCAGATCTCATAGTAATGGGCTCTTGTAGAGATTAATTACCTCCCTAGTGTTGTTGCAGCTAGTGGGGTTGATTGACTCTCTTCTTCTTAACTAATGTGTATTCTCTTCGTCTAACAGATTCATGCCCGCTAGTGATTTACAGAATATGGCAAACGTCTATTTGGTACACAGAGGATTAATATTATCCCGTCTTATTCAAAGGATGCTAGATGCCATATCTACGGATCATCAGATCGCCAGGCCTTCGAATGGCGCTAGTTTATCCGCATGCATGAAATTAAGACACGTACCAGATTCCAAATTCCTCTATATCGCTCAGTATTGTTAAAAAACATCGCATCAGCTATTAAGTTAGTCGGGATCAACAACTGATTCATTGATGCACGTTGTCACCTTATTTTAATGTTCGCCAAAAAGCTGTTCCAAATCTTCAGAATAAAGTTTGTGTACATTTCTGTTTTTTTTGAAAATTCACTGTGTCACCCTAAGTCTGCTTTGTACACTTGCTGATCTCGTAAAGTACACATTCCTTGACTAATTAGAACGTTCCTGCAGCTCGGGCGTAACTGCAATATAAAGAGCAGTCGAAAATTGAGTTTAAAAAAGTGATCTTTTCGATTTTTTATATGCTGATAATGTTAGCACTAAGCAGCATTAAGACCTAAAACCCTCGATAGTAAACCATCCATCAGTGTGCATGAATGTGTTGAGTCTAGAAAACGTGAAGGACTTGATTTTAAGCCAAAAGCCTTTTAGAAACGAAAGATAATCATATTTCAAAATGTGTAGTACGCGGTACGTGTCTGTACGTTTACATTTAAAAATCTCCCGTGCATACCGATAAACTCATTTTCTGTGCGTATTTTCATTCACTGGCGACTTAATGAGGATGGCACACTAAAACTTCAAGCGTGAATGCTTTTTTCGCATACGTTTCTCGGCTACTCTAGTGGTAAAACTGACAGAAAAGAAAACTTATCTTTTTTACTTGCACCCTGTGGTTCCATTCTAGTCCTTTGTCGAACGAAAGTGAAATATAAATTTTTAGTAACATAGATCAGTCTAGTAATCTATAAATAACAAAAAATGATTTGATTTCGATCAGAAAAGTTAAGTTCTTCTACAGATCGATCACCTTCCTAGAGATGAGTGGTGGTAATGGTAGAGAAGTGATCGATCTGTAGAAGTACCAAGGATTGTTCATTACTTAGAGCAGTAGTAAGTGAGGTGGTGGAGTCTTTGTAGAAGGCACTTCATTGTTTAAGATTTCTTTCTTTGCAATCTTCTTTTATCTACAACGTCTTCACATCGTTTTTGCTGGTTTGCCCCCTTATTTATTGTCAGATATGTATGTTTAATCCGAAGAAAAGTCCACTAAGACGTGGTCTGTTGAAGTTCTTCACCGTTTTAAAAACTCAAAGAACCAGACCAAATTTATTTAAGCATTTTGCTTTTTAGATAGGCTTTATCGCCTAAAGGAATTCATCAAACGTATGTGTATATCTCAAATTACCTTCTTCAAGAAGGTATAAGACAATGAAGCATTGCGTGACTGGACAAAAAATGAAGATATCAGAGTATGCCTGAAAAAATGCGACACTGAATAAGACAGCGCATCGAGGGTTTATTCCTATTTCTTTCGCCCTTAACTCTTTACTAAATACATCACTGACCTCACTCACATTTGAGCGTTATATTGTTGCTACATTTTGTATGAAGTCACAATTTTGTACGACCATATTTAGAAAAATGTTGCTTTTTATTGTTCAGTGTCTTTTCCTTTAAATTTTAATAACATTTAGGAAAATAACGATATTTTTATTTATCGAAGCGAAAGTTAATTTAGGCTGAGATTTGGTATGAAACATTTTCTAACGTCTGATAACAAAGAATTCACATAGAAGGCCTTTCTCTGTTAGTAAAGAACATCACTTTTGTTCTCCTGTTTTAGATTTTAGTTTGATCTTATCTTCTAATCATGGTGCTTACCGTTGTAACTGTTATCTATCATTGTCTTGATGATCAGCTGAAAAGGAAATCATATGAATTTCATTCAGACGCCACTGGTCATTTGCCAGTCATGGCATTAGAAAAACAATTTGACCTTACATTAGTTTTTGAATGTGATTGTAGTGGAAAGCATCCCATGTCGACCAAAACGGATATCCGTTACGGACCGTCTACTGGACGCAGGAATACGGACCGTAACATCATTAAAGTAGGGCCGTATACGGCCGTATTTTCACAGTGTACGACCCCGTATTACTGTGCCCATAAACGCTACCGTTTACGGGCCGTATATTGTGAAAATACGGCCGTATACGGCCCTATTTTAATGATGTTACGGTCCGTATTCCTGCGTCCAGTAGACCGTCCGTATATGGACCGTATCATTCGACCTGGGATCCCATTGCAATGGCTTATAATCATCAAACTGGTTATTCATTACAAACATGGTACTCGTATGATTCATTTTACTGGTAAAAAGCAAGTAAGTCCATTTCCCGACTTTCTTTGCAATTCAACATTGAATTTCTTTGTGAATCTTTTAGATAAAGTTCATTGGACGAGACAACCGTACTTTAGTCTCTTTCAGTGGGTTTTAACATCAGTTCTTTTTGTTTTTATTAGTTGGAGTGTGACATATTTCTCGAAAAAGTGCAAATAAGTGCATTAATTTGTTTTATTTATTTGGTTGTTTTTATCTATGTGTTTTTCAAAAGAGGAATATGAAAGTATATAAATATAACAAACTCTTAGAACAGTGGTGAAAATTGTTTTAATTGTCCATGGCATTTGAGACATTACTTACACTGACAGCACGGCAATGGTATTTCTGACGTGCGTTTATTTTTCTAACTACTCTAGTTTTGAAGGTTGTTTGATGCTTCATTCTCAAGAAACACGGCTCAAACCCTTAAACAAGCTTTTACTCATATTTTGTATTTTTAGAGTTTTAATTTCACCATTTCCAGTAATGCAGCTTCCGATTGTAATTGTTATCTATCATCCTCCTGGTTCATCACATAAAAGTGAATCATATCGACTTCAATTAGACAGCGAAGGTCATTTAACAGTCATGGCATTAGAAAAACAATTTAAACTTGAATTAGTCTCTGAATGTGATGAAGACGGAAAGTATTCTGTTATAATTGCTTATAATCATCAAACTGGTTATTCATTACGAACATACGATAATGGAAATGTAGTTCATATTACTGGTGAGAATGGTAACTTTCATTCAACATTCATAGTGATATAATGTTATGGTTAGTGAGCTGCCTCTCTTCTTTTTCTGTACATTAGTATTAGATGTAATTTTGTCGAAGCAAAATGACACGTATTTCGGATAGAGGATGTGGATAGCAGCTCATTTCATCCTTTTCTTCATTAACTGATAACCCTTTATGCAACAAATGTTTACTTGTGTGCGTTATATTTTTATTTGCTTATTTTCAGATAAAATTGAATTCGGTTATTTTTCAGCAAAAACTCCACATACAAATGCATTTAAGCACTCTGTAAGAATCACATCTGCCCTCCCATGATGACCTATTTATGCCAATTGTTCCTATGGAACTTAGGTGTACCATGTTCTGAAGAATAAGCCAGTAAAACATGGTGCATCGGTGACGATCTTTTACCGTTAAATGATCTGATATGTTTTTCAAGACAGTTTTTCTCAATCAATGTCTAACCTGTTTTGCCGACCCATTGGCCGTTTTATAGAGATATGAAATTCTGTTTAATTTCTCTTTTGTTAAAAACGAACAGCTATGGGATCATTACAAAGGCAGGAATTTTTACTTTTTATTTCTTATACTGAACTCCTAATTATCGCGGCTAATATAAATCGAGTAGTCGGGAAGCTTTCAGCACAGATTCAGTAGATAGTGGCGTACAAGATGTGATAATTAGATTTTGTCTAGTTTGTCCACTTTCAATTTTTTTCCTAAATTGTACAAAAAGCATACGATTCGCTCAGGTACACAAGTTTTAAAGGAATCATTTTTGCCTTTGGGGAAGCTGAAAATGATATGAATAGTATAAAATAATGGCTAAATTACGGATATCATAATTTATAGACTGCATTTCCTCCTTGTCATGTACCTGCTCTTGACACTAATTTTTATATCAAGTGCAAGTTTTGAATTGTAATTTAAATTGCTTAGGTCAATCTCGACCTGAAGAAAGCAAAGAATTATTTATGGATGTAGATTTTTAATTTCTGCTCAAGAAATCTTGCGTATTGTGCAAGATTTCAGATTGAGCCGAAGAACAGGAAAAGACACAATTTTCGGGGTCGAGAAATCTCTCTTTCTCTGAAGAGTTTTTTCTCGAGTTATTGAACACTGTGTTCACCATGTTTTACCCGGCTTTCTCTTCGGGAACATCATGCAATTCGTTTCATCAGAGATTGACCGCAAAATGAGTACACCAGTAATTTTATTCTTATCTCTTAACTCTCTCTTTAAATTGCTGTGTGTACACACCAGACATGAGCCGGACCAAGGTTTTTTGGCTCCAAAAAATTTCTTTTTTGGTCCGGTCTCGGTCCCGAAAAAACTTTTGTTTGCTAACACTATAAAAACAATCCGTTGCTGTGTTTGACACGGAGCGAGACCGAAACGAGGTGAGACATATGAGAGCAACAAGGATGATGTACACAGTGAAGATATAAACGGTCAGATAAACGATGATGATATAAGCTTTACGTAATTACTCGTTCTAGCTGATGTGAGATTACTGATACATTTGCTTTTGCATGCTAGAAGCAAAAAAACTCACAGTAATTTAACTTCAGTTCTTGAACATGGATGCTGAACAAAATAAAGCAGAGTCCAATAGTGTTTTAAGTTTTCTGTCCTATCGCTGACACCGAAGTTAAAACCGTGTGTAAGGCATTCTACGTAGTTGTTATGTTAGTATAAATATAACTGGTTCATTGAAAAGTTCCTGTCATGATAAAAGCGTAATTTTTGGCGTCTGTTAGATTTTTTCGATAAAAAGTCGGAAAATCTTCTATCATCTTAAGTTATTGGAAAATAATGTTTTCATAGTAGCGTTCAAAAGTTTTCACGCCTTTCGGTAGATATTCGTAAAAATTTTCGAACAATGAAATCCAACATTTGTACCAAAGATTTACTGTTTATCATACTTGATTACCAAAACACGAAGAACATCTAAAGTCAAAACATCCAACAAAAACGAAATTGTTATCTTAAAAAAAATATACTACTAGCCGATTCGTATGAATCCCGGTAACTTGCTCCCTGGAAAGATGCCTCCCGGACACTTGCCCTCCGCGTTTTGCCCTTCGGACATTTGCCCGCCACGGACACTTGTCCGCGCGGAAAGTTGCTCCCACCGATTAAAACGGACACTTGCCTCCGCCACTTGTGGAGAGCACTTTTCTCTTAACCATTTTCTAGAATTGGACCTTTTCGGTATTAGAAGCCAATGATTGCCTTGGATACTTGCCGTATACGGCGCACAGTTCGTTTCAAATTTTTAATATCAGGTAACGAGGCTACGCCGATGTTTTATCAACAATATAAGCATATCCAGCGTGAATAAAGATTGGTTTA